GCCCTGTGTTGTTTCCTGTGAACCACTTAGGATTCAGTCATGTTCCCCTGCCCCCACCGTGTGCCATCTCTTACTTGGAACACTTCAGCAACTCTTTGTTAATCTTGTCTGCTTCTGCTTTCATCCTTTTCTCCACATATCAGCCAGAGGAATCTTTTTGAGAGAGAAAATCAGGCCATGCCTGCCTCTTCCCCAGTTGCTGTACTCCTCACAATTACCTAGAATAAATCCCAGGCTCTGCCCAGGCCCCTGTGTTCTGACCACCATTGGCCTCACTGGTCTTGTTCACAAACCTCCAACACTCAGTGGGTTCTAATTCCTGGGCCATTCCACTCACCGTTGCTTTTTAACAAGTGTATTTTCTCCTAGCTATTGACACAACGGCTACTTTCTCCTTGTGTAGCTAGCAGCTTAAATAGGACCTTTTCAGAGAGTCCCTCTTCATTTTAGAAGGATGTCTACCTCCATTATCACATGCATTGTTGCTATGGTGCCCGAATCGTCCTGTGAAAAAGCCCTGGTTGTTTCAGCTTCTTGGAGTGCTCTCAGCTTTCTTAGAAGTTTCTTTGCTGTACATAAGAGAGTTGATTACCCAACCCCTGCTGGGAGGCCTCCATGTACCATGAGTAGGTGGAGGCCCATCCATCTCAGTAGAAGGCTTGAACCTGGGAAGAGGGTATTTCCTGTGAAGTTTGAGGCTGCTGCTGGAAGTGCTTTCCAGCCCTTCCCCTGATTTTGAAAATTATATTTTAATCGATTGCATAGGGTTATGAACATACCATAGCTGTGAGTGGAGGTCAGAGGACAGCTTGCCAGGGTCAGCTTTCTCCTACCATGTAGATTCTAGGAATCAAACTCAGGTAGCCAGGGTTGGCAGCACATGACTTTGCCGAACTGTCTCTCTGGCCTGCCAGATTCAAGGGAACTAATTATTTCCTCATCCTTCATAGTACAAAAGAATGGACTTAGGCAGGGAGACGGCTCAGTGGGTAAAGGTGTGTGCGGCTAAGACTAATGACCTGAGAGTGCTTCTGGAACCCATTCCGTAGAAGGAGAGAATCAGTTCCTGCAAGCTGCCCTCTGACTGGCACGGACACAGTGGCATGTGCACCCCCCCAACTCATGCACATTTATACACACACCCCAAAATAAATGTTAAAAAAGAGAGAAAAGCGTGACGTTTTTGTTAGTAATGATGACTCACTGTAGGAAGAAATACCCAGTTCATTATCTTGCACGTCTCAGTCCCTGACTCACTCCAGGAAATGATCCTGAGGGCCAGAAGGAATAAAGAGGTTCAAAAGAAACTGGCTTGGCTGTCCCTGCAGTCTGAGAATGTGCACGATAAGGAGGAAATGTTCAAGAGCAAAGGCTGTGGGGTTCAGACCCAGCCTGCACATCTGCTTTGTCTATCTATCTACCACAGGGTGGCCTAGACCTTAACTGAACATTCTTCATGCTTAAAACATGGGTGACTGTTGCATCTGAGTCCCCGGTGTCCGTCAGCTTGTGATGTTGCCACATATAAAACTATTTTCAGGGAGGATAGCATTTGAATTTCAGCAGCTCGGGGCCTCTGAGTTTTTATGGATGTCGTAAGCCACAACATGGAATTCTCTCCCCTCAGCTTGGTGAGACTCAAAAGCTGAGAAGCTGGTGATAGTCCATGCTCCAGTCGCCTTGCCACTGGGACTTTTCTTTTTTTTCTTCAGTATTTGTCATTCACTAGCAGTACCCCTCCCAATGTAAAATGCCGTTGCACATCTGCTCAGGCTCCCAGTCAGCTGTCTGCTGGCAAGGGTTGGCCATGTGCTCATCTGTCTGCCTCTCTCCCCTCCTCCTTTACTAGAATTATTGGGACCAGGACATACACACTCTATACAGAAGGCAATATATGCTGAGCCGATGGCACAGTTAGGAAATGGCTCTCTCTCTGTAGAGCATAATTATTACTTGTCCTGTGTCATTGACACAAGTGTGTTTGACACTTAGACAGTAGCCTAAATGTGTACAAGTTGAAAGCGAGGGCTTTCTCTTCCTCCTCCTTTTCCTTTGCCATAAGAAAAAACAGAGCAATGTCTTTTGTTTTCATTTTATATTTTATTAACCTCCCTTCCTTTAGAGGAGAAAATAGGAAAAGAAGAAGTAGGAGGTTAAAAAAAAGAGGCAAGTCTTTTTAGATAGTACCAAAAGGGAGTTTGAGAGTTTTGAGGGAAAATTCAAAGAAAGGTGGCTTGAAAAAAATACATTGGGACCTAGAAAAAGATGGGAGAACAGTGGCCTTTCTGGACCCTGACTGCAGTGAAGACTCCCTCGTGCCACAGCCACATAAAGTCCCAAATGGAGTTTTGAAGCCCAGTGGATGGGATATTCTGTGAAAACCCTCCAGGTCACAAGTGTGGGCACAAGACTCTGAAATACGGACTGCACACTGCTAGCCTCTGTTTTTGCCCAAAGCCTGAGGGTAATTCACTTAATCCCGGTTGACCTCCCTATAGAATCAGCTTACAGGGCACAATCAATAAGGCAGGGGGAGGGTGGTGGAGTTAATTACCAAGTTTCGGTTTATTCAATATACAAAGCACATACGGACAGTACTGGAGTTTTGACATGAGTTGAGGACTTGAATTCTTTCTCAGCTGGAATGTGCTGGAACTTCCCAATTGACTTGAAAGAATGCCTAGAATTTCTCTTCTATTATGGTCACTGTTACTTCTCACAGAGGCAAATGAACCCTCCTGTGCTACCATGATTGGACGAGGAGAGTCCCTGGCTGGCTCACAGGCAGCAAAGCTGGCCAGTATTTCCTAGTATGGAAGAGTGAGGGAACCCTCGTACAGGGGCTTCAGGCAGAGCAGCTGTAAATACTTACAGCCAATAGGAGTGCTCATGAGGATGGCACAGAGCAGGACCTTGTCTATCAGTGGTGGGGAGGAATTCTGCTGTCTCCTCCTAGGCATTAGGCAGAACTCAACAAGTCTGCTCTCTGGCCATTTTCTAACTACAGTAACTTTCTGTTCTGGAAATGTACAGTAATTTAGGGACTGTATTTAGTACAGTCATGATGATGGGGTCTCTTGCACTGAATTTGCTCTTTGATGGTGGAAATTGACTTTGTTTTATGGTTAGGTTCTTACTCAATAGACCAGTCTGACCTGGAACTCACTATATAGGACAGGCTGGTCTTGACCTCACAAAGATCCGCCTGCCTCTGCCTTCCAAGTGCTGGGATTAAAGACATGCATACCACCATGCCTAGCTGGAAATTTATTTCAGATATCAGGTGCTGGATAAATGCACTTACAATACAGGGAACAACAGAGTAGTATAGCTAGCTTCTGAAGGCCTCTCCACTGCCAGTATCTAAGCTCAGTCAGAGTAGGGTTTTTACATGGTGATAGGGAATATAAGTTAAATTAATGCGGATTTACTTCCCAACAAATCAGACTGAGAAGAGAGCATGGAGCTTTTTAAAGCGTGGTTGGAGGATCTTACCATTTGACATCTCCAGTTTTGAAAAATTGGCTTTGCTAGGTAATTATTGTGTAGCCTTGGGCAAGTTACTTTACTTCCCTTAATTGTGCATTTTTCATATTTGAAATGAAGGAATAATCCCTATGTCAAAGGTTACGAGAAGAATAAGTTTAGATTATTAATATGATGGTGTTTGGAACTCCGAAGATATCAATTTTTTTCCTACTCTCCCATCTTTATCCCCAACCCCATTGTTATGGAGTTTATTTAATTGACTTCTTAGAGGGTTGGGAAAGGGAAACTATGGGGACATGGAAGGATAGTATGGGGGGCAAGCATGAGCGAAGTGCAGTGATACATGTGTGTAGAATGTTACAATAAAACCTATTTTCTATCTGCTAACTAAAATAATTAATGAGAAAAGAAAGGGTAAATACATATCTGTTACCCCAAACAGATTCTAAGCCATTCTTGATGTTATAGGACACTTAATTGTTTTGTTCTTACATGTGTTGTTCTACTTTCTGTTTGAGGAAGAGGAAAAAATGTATTTTTGTTTTGTTTTGTTTTTCAAGACAGGGTTTCTCTGTAGCTTTGGAGCCTATCCTGGAACTCACTCTGTAGACCAGGATGGCCTCAGACTCACAGAGATCCACCTGCCTCTGCCTCCCGAGTGATGGGATTAAAGCTGTGCACCACCACTGCCTGGCAAAAAAATATATTTAAAAAAGATACTGAAAAGTCAGTTATGGATAATGATGTTTTAAGGGCTGCTTCTCAAGTAGGGCAATAGGAGAACACAATTTTAATAAGAGAACCCTTGGGTTAAGTGAAAAGTTGAGGGGGGGGGAGAAGGCTTTCCTGAGGCATTTGATAAAACCTGTAACATTTGGAGGGGTGCAAATCAGGTGTCCTCCTAAGTGCTGTTTAAGGATATATCCAGAACATCTTCACTTCAAATGGTTTAGTGTGGTATTTCCCAAAGGCATAGAACACGGTGATGCAAATGTACACTTCTATGTTCTCAGCTGTTATCAAAAAGTCTCTAAGTCACTGAAGGTCACTGCCAGGCAAGTGTCTCTGGATAAATTGTCACAGGCCTGTCAGAAGTCTTCTCACAGGAAGGGTTCTGCTTGTCGTGATGAGACTCCCCTCCTGTTCCTTGATTATTCTCTCTGTGTCTAGCATTTCATGTCTGACTATCTTCTCACCCGCAAGAAGAACTGGGAGTGCAGAGTCTGTTTATACTGATTATTGTGTCTTGGATCCATGTTTTGGAGACAGTCCCTGTGCTGCCTTCTGCCAGTGTCATTTCCTGTTCACCTTTCTCCTCACTTGAGCTTCCAGTAGGGTGCAGCTGAGTGTGTGCGACTGGCTCGGCCTGAAGGGAAATTAGGAAGCTGTCCAAGGACCTGATTTATGAGGCATCGAAAGGCACATCTGACCAAAAATATCTCCCGCACTGGCCTGCCACCAGTAACCGAGAGATCCCTGATTAGAAGTGCGAATTAAAAGCTTTTCCGTAGACTTACCCTGTTTCCTTGGGCCTGCCCGTACATTGCGATCTGAGGGAGAATTCGGAAAGTAGGAAAGTGTTTCAGTAGAATGATTTGCTTTATCTTAGTCTGTCCATCTCATGACAGGCCAATGTCAAATTAGTTCAAGGCCAGAAGGAAAGTCTAGGACTTTTTCTGGCACCTTAATAGGACTCTGAGCAATGCGCCCCTGCAGGCCATGGTAGACAGCTAAGGTAAACTGAGGAGTTACAGTATCAAAGACAGACCTACAGGTGCTTCACAGTTACATCCACTACAGCTTAGAAAGTAGGGCCATGTTAAGTATGTACTTGGAGCAATACCCTCTGAATTTCCTTCTTTTTACCACTTTGATTCTTAGGACTTGGTTCACAGTGCCACAGCAGGGCTACTGACTCTGTTGTTCGGAAAGTGACATTTGTGACAAAGGTCAGCGAGATTTATAGCCAGAGGAAGATTTGCAGAAACAAATGAATCACTTTATGACTTGGCAGATTTTATTCCAGAGAAGTGTCTAATGACAGTGTTTCTCAGCCATATCAAGATGCCACCTATATCTGAGTCACCAATGATATTTATTAAAATTTTCCTCCCTGGTTGGGCATGGTGGTACATGCCTAGTACTTAAGAGATGGAAGCAGGAGGAAGAGAAGTTCAAGGCCACCCTCAGTTACATGTAGGGAGTTTGAAATCAGTCTGGGTTATGTGATACTCTATATCAAAAAACAAAATAACAACAACATTTATAAATAAATAAAGTGTTCATTCCTTTTCTGTTCCCAGACCTTTGTTAAGGCCTCAGAGGGATGGGTCTGCAACACTGTATTAAAAAAGTCGTTGTCTGCTGAATTTTACAGAAACTACTAGCAAAGCAGAGAGGCAAAGTGTAAATTCTGAAGGCACAGACATCAGGGGTCAAAGCCTGGCCTTGTCATTTATTCATTCTGCCCTTTGGACAAGTTAGTTCTTGGACCTCTTTGGCCCTTGGTTTCAGCCTAATAATATTATTGACCTTACACGGCTATTATTATATTATGCCAGAGGAGCCAATCCATTTAAAGTTTAGGGTAGCATCTGGTATATGATGATGGCAAAGGAGATCACCATTGTTATAATTACCATGTAAAAAGGCTTTTAGGCAATGGTTACTGACTATAATTGTTTGTTGACTGGGTACACTGTGAAAGGTAAGTTTAGAATCCAGTATCAATATATAGTAAAAGTCAAATTGGCTTTCTAATTTTCCTTTTTAAAGACTTATTTATTTTTATTTTTTGAGTGTTTGCCTACATGCATGTATGTGTACCACACACATGCCTGGTGTCTCAGGAGGCCAGAAGAAGGTGTCAGATCCCCTGAAACTGGAGTTACCGATGGTTGTGAGGCAACAAGTAGATTCTGCAAACCAAACTTGGGCCCTCTGAAAGATCGGTAAGTGATCTTAGCCACTGAGTCATCTCTGCAACCCGGTCTTTACAGTTTATTATCATTTCCCAATATTTCTTTAGTATTTTATCTCTTCTGGTCGTATAATTCCTCAAAGACAATAACAAGACAAGTATTAGATAGAAATAGTGACAAGTATTCAAAAAATATAACAAGACAAGTATTAGATAGAAATAGTGGCAAATATTCAAAATTATCAATTGGGATGTGTAGCCTTGAAAGAAGTGGTTCGCTGAATATGCTCTACTTTGCAATAATTTGTCTACTCCTACTAGAGCGATCGAGCACTTCTGTGTCCAGTTGCTGCTTCTCTTTATCCTTCCCCCTTTGTCTCCTGCCTCTTCCTACCCATCCTAGGTTGACGAAGTACCTGCATTCTATATTTCTCCCTGTTTCCTTGTCTCACTCTGGTGTAATGCCTTCTCATTCATCTTGCAAGCAGAATTTGCCCACACAGCACACGTCACAGCTGAGAGAATTGATTTGAAATGCCATGTGGTTTCTCAGTAGCTTGGTCAGGGTCATTACCGACGAATGCAGGAGCAGCTTTTCTGCCCAGATGGCCCTTACAAAGCAAGGCCAAGGGGAAAGAGTGAAGGCCAAAGAGGGGCTCTTACCATTTTGTCTTAACCAGGAATTGTGGCAGGCAGTGTGGTAACTGTGACAAAGATGGTAGGAAAATCATCTGACTGCGGAATATAGTATCGAATGCACTGGAGTCTGCAGTCTGGAGAAGGAAAACAAGAGAAATGTAGAACTTCAGTGCTCTTTTCTCAACCACCATCCAAGAGAAGCGACAGGCAGGAAAATGTCACAGTTGGCATCCATTCCCATGGATGCCTTTCTGATACCCAAATCCTTTTACTGCCTGAGACATGAACTTTGTGAATTAGAATGCATAGGTTCAAATCTAGGCTTCACACTTATGAGCAGGGTGCCCTTGAACAGCTCAGTTTCTCTGTGCCTCAGTTCCCTCATCTGGGAAATGGGCACATTACACATATCAGGAGTGTTCAGAGGATGAAATGAGAGTAGTACCCAGTGGTATTGTGGACGGGGCACATGGATGTCTGTACCACAAATGGCACACGTCAGGAGGTCAGAGGGCAACTCTGTGAAATCAGTTCTCTCTTTCCACCTTTGTGTGGTTTCCTGGGGATCAAACTCAATTGTCAGACTTACATCACCAGGTGGCAAGTGCCTTTGCCTGTCCCTACTTTAGATTCTTAATTGTTATTATTAGTTTGGGGTTGGGGGGTGGGGGCACAGGATCTCTCTTTGTAGCCCTGGCTGGCTTCAAACTCAGAGAGAGGGCCTCCTGCCTCTATCTCCCAAATGATGTAATTAAAGGTGTGTGCCATCATACTGGGTGTGGTCACCAAGTTTTATTTACTACTTCTGGTAGCATCCAGGAGTTCTGAGCTGATCATTATACCCAGCCTGTGAAAATTTGCTAGAAGTTGTTCTTTCCTGCAAGCAAGATCCCTCGTCTGGCTTCCACTCCCTCCTGTTCAGAGGGCCACACTATGACTTATCAAATTCAGGGCCACTCAGGTACTCTAAGCAAGTGTTCTACTGTGGAGGTGTATCCCAAAGCCATACTGGAATGAGCAATGTCACATTTTAGAAGTTAGTGTTTGATCCATCACTGTTTCTTTTTTCTCTTCATTTTTAGTTATTCAGCATATGTGAATGCTAGAGACCTAAGCATTTACCATTTAAAAGGTTCTAGGTTTCAAGCTTGTTCATTAATGTTTGAATATTACAGAAACAGTTATATGTTTTTGCTGTGATACAGGGACTGCAGCATCATGCTTGAGAAAGTACATTCAGACGCATCCTTCTCCAAGAGAACGACTGAAAATAAACTATCAGTCATGCGAGGCGCACTTCTTTGCCTCTGTTCCATTCTTATCATACCAATCTCCCCTGCAGAATTGAAGCTGTTCATAAATATTTTTCTCCCAAACTGTGGGAAATAAGTTGTGAGTAACATTGACTGTTTGGTAAGGTTACATCAGGGGACTGCTTATCATCTAAACAATGAACACAAAGCAGTTCAGTTCTGGGGCCTCTGACAAGAGGCCAACAGGGTGTTCACCCTTATTCTCAGGCATTCCAGGGGAGTGGCAGAGGGACAGCACTACAGGACATTTTCAAGGGCTTCTTTCCCACCCTGCAGAGTGCCATCTCTGATCATTTAGAAAAGGGTTTGTTTTGCAAGAACTTAAAGTGTCCCCAAGAACTGTTCACCCATATTGGCCTTGCTATTTGCTCAATGCCAGATGCACATTGCTGCTTGACTCATGGTCACATCCCCACAGATTTGACCTCATTACATGGACACTATTAAAAGATTATCCTATTATTGAGACTTTCCATTGCATCAAATACTAAACATTAGCAGCATTCCTCTACAGGGAAAATGATGTAACAGGAGGGCACAGACTGTGTTGACCTCAGGCACATCAGGATAGGTATGTGGGAATTGCTCAACGACTGGCTGACCAATTAAGCCCAGCGGTACCCAGAAGAAAGCTCTAGGGGCATAGACTTTCCCAGGAGCTCCTGAGGGATGTGTTTGGGTTCATATGCTGCCATACATGGAAGTCTGGTTTGATTCTGTACCCAGGTGGTTATTTTGTAAAATGCTCAGAAGGGAACATACATACAGAGCCCTGGAAGGGATTGTGTGTGTGTGTGTGTGTGTGTGTGTGTGTGTGTGTGTGATATAGTGGTGAGCAGAACAAGAGTTCTTCCCTTTTTCTTCTCTAAGACTGACCTAACTTTCACCACTCCCCACTTTGGAAACCAAAGGGTGCTCCTGGGAGACTGTAAGTGATTTCAGAATCAAGCTATTATGAGATTATTAGAAGAAGGATTTTTTTTTTAATGTTACAAGAGATGTGCTTTAAAGAGGAAAATTCCAGTCACAGAGGACTTGTGTTATCAGCTTTCTGTTGTGGCTAAAGCCTGAGGTGAACCTCTTGATGGGGGATGTCCTTTTGTAAGCTGTGAATATATGTTTCTCTTACTGGTTGATGAATAAAGCTGTTTCAGCCAGTGGAAAGGCAGGATTTAGCCAGGTGGGGAATCCAAACAGGAATAGAGAAAGGTAGTAGGCGGAGTCAGGGAGATGCCATGTAGCTACTGAAGAAGCAAGAGACCTGGGCATCACCAGTAAGCCAAGACCACGTAGAGATACACAGATTAATAGAAATGGGTTAATAATGAAGAGAGAGCTAGCCAATAAGAAGCCTGAGCCAGAGGCCAAACAGTTTATAATTAATATAAGCCTCTGTGTATTTATTTGGGACTAAATGACTGCGGAATGGGGCAGGACAGAAACTTCTGTCTATACCTCTTAAATGAGGAAAGGCTGATTTTGGGTCACAATAACGGAAGTTCTGATCCATGTCACTTGGCCATGTGGCTCTTAGGCCTTTGCTGAGGCAGAGCATCATGGTGGAGGTGTAGAAAAGCAAAGCCCCTCCCATCAATGTAGCCAAAGAGCAAAGAGGTCCAGGAAGGAAAGGGCACTTCCCTTCCTGCCACCAGGTGCCACCTCCTAAAAATTCCATCAGGATTGGTGACCAAGCCTTTAACATGTGGCCTCAGGCCAGGGAACACTTAAAGATAACAGAAATGGAAAACACAAAAGCCCACCAATTAGACAAATTAGATAAAATTAAACTTTTAGTTATGATTTTACTTGATCATATTTTAAAAATCATTGACTGAATTTTAGTTGTTGGGAAAAATAAATGCAAGAACAGCACAGGATCAGTGAAAATATGTCAAGTAGTACAGATGTGTATAAGAGGGGAACCTGTTTTCCCTAGGACCAATATTGCTATGACCTGCCTTTCAGAAGTTTCAAGATACGTAATTCAATGAATGTGTCCTTAGGTTGGGGGATAATTATGCATTGTTCTGAAGTTTCCCCCTACTTAATGCTTCCTATTTGATGCTCTATAATTTATTTTATTTTTAATAGCCATCACTTATGCTGTTCCTTTCAAAATAGAATATTTTAAGTGAAGTGAAATGGGAAAATTCTATATCAGATGCTTTCAAACTATTTTTCTGGGTATGGCATACTAAATAACATGTTTTATAAGTTGCAATCAAATTGTTAAAGTAGATCCTTGTTCACCTTCTGGGATAGATAGGAAGAAGCAAGAGGTTAGGAAACATGTTACAGGTGAAAACAGATTTTGCAAGAGTATGTGTAATAGTCCCAGTCATATAAAAGGTACACACACACACACACAGACACACAGACACACAGACACACACACACACACAGAGAGAGAGAGAGAGAGCGAGAGAGAGAGAGAGAGCGAGAGAGAGAGAGAGAGCGAGAGAGAGAGAGAGAGCGAGAGAGAGAGAGAGAGCGAGAGAGAGAGAGAGAGCGAGAGAGAGAGAGAGAGCGAGAGAGAGAGAGAGAGAGAGAGAGAGAGAGAGAGAGAGACATAGACATTCACACACACATGCACTTGTGGTCTACACATAAACATCAAATACTATTGATTGTTAGTAGAGGATGGTTGGAATAGAAATATTTTTTTCTCATGTGTGGAGAGCAGAAGATGGATTTTAGGAATCAGTCTTCTGTTTCCACCATGTGGGACCTGGGGGTTGAATTCAGGCTTTGAGGTTTGGGGACAGGTATGAATACCCACTGAACCATCTCACTAGCTCCCTTTTGGGTTTTCAGCATTAACTGTTAAGGGCAGGTGAGATGGTTCTGTGGGTAAAGGTGCTTGCTGCCAAGCTTGAGGACCTGAGTAAGATCCTTGGAACCCGAGTAGTGGAAGGGCAGGATGACCCCTGCCAGATGCCCTCTGACCTAACATGAATGCTGTGGCATGAGCACTCCCCACTAACATAGAAAGTAAATTAGTTAAAAATAAGTATGTTGGGTTGGAGGGACATCTTGGCCGTTAAAGGCTAGGCTCACAACCCAAAATATAGAAAGTAAGTATGTTATAAAAATGGCAATGCAATGTCCAAAGGCTATTATAGAAAGAAAATCCATTTGGGTTTGCTTCTGCTCTGTTCCTAAATCTCAGAGTAACTGGGTGGAAACAGTCTCTCTCCATAATTTATTTTCTTTCAAGGTTATTTGTTAGAGTTGATGTGTGCAGGTTAGAGAACAACCTTTTGGGAGCTGGTTCTCCCCTTCCTCCTTGTTGTTGAGGCCTCTCTGAGATAGTATCTCTCTCTTCCTTTCCTTTCTTATTTTTATTTTATTTTTTTATGAGACAGACTTTCTTTGTGTAGCCTGGCTGTAGAACTTGCTCTGTAGACCAGGCTGGCCTCAAACTCAGAAATACACCTGCCTCTACCCCCTGAGTGGTGGGATTAACTTTTTTTTTTTAACATTAATTTAGTTAGAGTGTGTGTGTGTGTGTGGTATGTGGTTATGCATGTATTCTGGTGCATATGTAGAAATCAGAGGACAACTTGCCCGAGTCAGTTCATTTCTTAATTATTGTGTGGATTCTGGGGTTTGAACTCAGGTCATAAGGCTTGCATGGCAAATGCTTTTAATTTACCCACTAAGTCATTCCTCCATAATTAATTTTCTTAATTTAATGAATTAGACTTAAGTTCTCTTATTAAAAGAAGTTAATCTTTGGCACCACTAAAGAATTAGTCAGGAGACATAGATCAGGATGTCACATTCCTTTATTACATACATGAGATATAAAAACAAATTCACAAAGATATATATATATATATACACAGGACCTCAGGGAAAAAGATGATCCGGATATATGAACCTAAAGTTTCAGCACTGTGGTTCCTGGTTTGTAAAATTCCAGTGCAGTAGAAACTGTACACAGAGTGGCTATGCCTGGATAAAGAAAATGAAAGATAATGAAAAACAGTAATCTGGTGAACTATCACATATGTTGTGTTAGGAAAAGGGTAAATGTCATGACCATGTACTGTTAATAAAAGAAGAAAGAAAACTGGTCCAATGTTCACGTTTAAATACTAGACACAAAAATAGAACAAATTCTGTGTTTACAATAATTTTCGAAGTGTGTACAAGTGCATCACAAATAAATGAGCTTTCCGGCATTTAAAGTCGACTTTCCCTGTATGCAATCATATTTCTACACTTCATGGTTTCCTCCTCTTGTCTTAAAGTCTAAGTTTCATCATGACCAGTATCCTGGGACCTCTCAGAGATTTCATACAAACATTCTCCTTTTAGGTTGTATCTTTACAGCATTTCTCCCAGCATTGTTTTCTTTAGCCTGGTTCCTGTGTCCATCCTCAGTGGCAGTGCTTGTGTTTCAGCAGGTCTTCCCACAGCCCTTCTCTTTTCTTCCTGTCAATAGCGGTCTCAGAGCTTTCACAACATCAGTGGTAGGTAAAGTGCTTTACACAAAGAAATACTATATATACACAGAAGAGTTCCTTTCGCATCCCACACACTGACATCTACACACAGCACACAAGACAAGGCTCTTTTTAAGAAATGCCTTTCCTGATGGTAGAGTTTGGGGGGGGTGTCCCTAAAATCTCATTAATTCCTTAAATAGCATCAAATACAATGTACATGACATATCTAAAGCTGGGGGAGAACTTGTCAGGGATACAGCCTTTAATGGGTGAGTGCTAAAGATCATGTTACTATTAAAATATTCTCCATAGCTGTGACATTCAGAACCAGTTCCACGGGAAGCAGCTATCAGCTCAGGGATTTTCACTTCTCTTTATGAAACAAAGCTGTATCTAAACACAGATCCAGAACAGATAGGTCAGACAAGGCCTATGCATTGCAACATTTTTTTCTACTTTTTTGGCACTTAAAAAAATATTCCAGTTTCATTTTGAGGTCTCTTTTTCATTACACTTGTATATCTACCCAGAGAAGAGCCTTTGTGTGCTTCACACCTCTAGTGTTGTTTCACACCTCCACTGCTACTTCACACCTCCAGTGCTACTCCACACCTCCAGTGCTACTCCACACCTCCAGTGCTTCTTCACACCACCAGTGCTAATTCACACCTCCAGTGCTACTTCACACCTCCAGTGCTACTTCACACCTCCACTGCTACTTGCACTCTCTTTTTAAGATATGCATGACTCTTCTCCCAAGAGCTGGTTTCCAGCGCTGGACAAAACTTTTCATATTCACAACCAATTTGCCTGTTCTTACATCCTCATGTCCAGCTACAAGGTACTCCAGACCTGTAAGCACAGAGGAGATGCATACATTATATTCTGTTAAAGGAGGAGATGTGACTTCAGGGATTTCAGACATTCCTACTTCATAGTTGTATATAGGCATGGATAAGATGCAGAGTCATGAAGCCGGGCGTTGGTGGCGCACGCCTTTAATCCCAGCACTCGGGAGGCAGAGGCAGGCGGATCTCTGTGAGTTCGAGACCAGCCTGGTCTACAAGAGCTAGTTCCAGGACAGCCTCCAAAGCCACAGAGAAACCCTGTTTCGAAAAATGATGCAGAGTCATGACCATTAGTGTATAGTATGTACCAAATACTGCACACATTATCTCATGACCTTGATATGGCTTATAAAATAAGTAGCACGTCTCTCCTTTTGTACAGATGAGAAACTGAAGCTCAGAAGTTGGGAAACTCCTACTAAGTAGCAGTCCTGGACTCAAACTCAGGACTGTCTGATTCTGGGCCTATGTAATTTTGCACTCTGAGTGAGAGACATGTGAGGGATCATTGGAAACTGGACATGTTAATTTTCCTGGAGATTGGTGTGTGTGGTAGCAGCAATTAAGAAAGACTTTATACCAGGTGACGGTGGCACCTGCCTTTAATCACAGCACTCAGGAGGCAGAGGCAAGGGGATCTCTGTAGGTTCCAGGTCAGCCTGGTCTACAGAGTGAGTTCCAGGACAGCCAAGGCTATACAGAGAAATCCTGTCTGAGAAAAACAAAGGACAAAAAACAAAACAAAACAAAAAAGGACTTTACAAAAATAAAGCAACTATTTGGAATATATTGGAAGAGAGTTGTGAATGACAAAAAATGACATGTATTCTCTCTATACAGTTGTATTTGAGGAATATAAGGAGCTTGTTTGTGAACAAAATAAAGCAAAAGCAAAGATGAAAAAACTGATGGAGACTCGGCCATATTTAGTGCTGCCCTTATAACAAATTTTTTTTCAGGCTTTTAGTAAAATATTTTGGCTAACAAAAGCATGGAGATGGATTGTCTGTTTATGTACTAGTTTAGGAAATGATAATAGCCTTCATTACATATTTGTAATGGTGTCAATTTTGATATTTAGAAACAATTTTATAAAATATAGGACTAGAAAAATAATTATGGTTATAACTTTCTAATACAAAGAGCTATATGCTTTAAAATTTTAATTAAAACACTAGATGTTAAAATTAAAATAAATATCAGTTTAAATTTATGAGCCATGTATAGAGACATGCCTGTAATCCTAGTTATTATGGCTACTTGGGACACTAAAGTAAGGGGATCCTAAGTTTGCGGTCACCTAGGCAATTTAGCAAGGCCTTGTCTGAAAATAAAAAGGATTTAAGATATAGCTCAGAGGCAGAATGTTTGCCTAGCAATGTAGAGTGACCTAGGTTAAATCCCTAGTAAAACAAACATGCAAGCTATATGTAGTTTGTATGTTTGTTTTATGTATATATATATATTTACATATGTAATCTTGCTATTATCTAATAATTAAATAATAAAGTTCTCTTTATTATTTAAAACAGTAAGCATTTTAAAATTTATATATGTATATATCTTGTTATTGTCTAGTGTTTAAATAATAAAATTCTCTTTCACCAAAACTTGGGGGCTGGTGAGATGACTCAGTGGTTAAGAGCAGTGGCTGCTCGAGCAGAGGACCCTGGTTCAATTCCCAGCACCCACATGGCATTTCACCCCCATTTGTAACTCTAGTCCCAGGAGACTGGACAGCTCTTCTGGCCTTCGTGTACTTCATGAAAATGTTACACAGACATACATGCAGGTAAAACACAAATACACATAAAGGCTTAAAAAGAATAATAATAATAAAAACAAGTTGTAGATCAAGACCAGTATTTTAAGTTACCCTAACGCCAGAAATAGAACAAATAGCACAGGAATTCCATTTAAAGTATTAATATATGGAGTACTATCAAACCATAATTTAACACAATGTCTTCTTTTACACCCCTTGGTATCACTTACATTTAATTTGTCTATCTTTACAGTTTGATGTCTGCTTTGTTGTATGTTTTGCAGACACAATGTTTATTATCTATAAAAAAAGGCAGTGTACTTTGGTGCTAGCACTGGTATTCAAAGATACATGACTGATGAAATATATGCCTGAGTCACAGAAGACTGGGCTGGCAAGGATGGCCAGTAGCTCACTCCTTTTCAAAGGCAGCACAGGAGATAAGTTGAGGCATAAGGTTTCAGAGTTTGTCTCTCTCTCTTTTTTTATCATCAGTCTTCTTTGGTTTTCATAAACTTGTAAAAATGGAAAAACAAAAGCAAAATGAAACAGTGTCTGGTTCTGCTTTGGCAGCTTCCAGATTTTTCTTCAAAGCAAGTAAACATGTTTTCAAGAATTCTTTGAATAATTGCGCTTATGTTTTCAATTGTGATGAGCTCAGTTGGTTCTTGGACTCTGGCAGAAACCTGAGCAGGAAATATAGCTCACTTCCTGGAGGGTGGCTCAGATGGTCAAAGCTTTTGTTTTAAATGTCATTCTGCAAAACTGGACAGGCTCCCCACCCCCCTTTTACCAAGATAATAGAAAATTGCTCATAAGAGACTGTAAGCGAAGATGATCGGGAAACAGAATTTAAAGGAATGACTCTTTGCTTCCTGTATTTACAAATCCAAGATTCTTACTTATTCAGATTTATGCTTTGGAACTGCTTATTCTTATAATTAAAAAGTTTCCCTTCTATCTTATTGAAATTTAAATGAAATTAAGTGAAATATTAGAGGAATGAAAGAAGTTATAAGAAATTAGTTGAGAAAACTTTTTATCTTAAATCACTGGTTGTGTTTAGATTAAGGGGATATTTTATTTGTAGTTTTCCTGTTATCTGTTTCTTCTAATTTGCTAATTAAAAACACAGAAGAGTTCTTTCTAATGTAACTGTGCTTTCCTGGATCGTAAGGGGAAGAAATTAGATGTAGAATATAAATTATGAACCTGTCTTAGCAGTATTCTGACGCACAAGCGGTGACTGCACACACAGGAAATCACGAAGTGCAGGAACGGGAATCAGGCTTTTCAAAGCTATTGTCTGTGCAGTATATTATATTTGGGTGCTGGTGCTGATGCTGATGGCACTGCAGATATACTGTGATCAGAAATCTATATCCTGTCTCCAATTTTAGCATGGGGGCAGAGAAGTGGCTGAGGTATATGCTTACACATAGGATACAATTTTTGGTATTGTCAGCAGAGTTCTCACACACCCTGATGGAAGGTGGTCACAGAGGAACCCTACCTCAGCTGGTCCTCCATTCTGAAAGTACCATTGCCAGGGGTCTATCTTTATAGAATCATGAAAGTCTTAAGTGCATCGGTGACTGATGTTACCATCATCTCAGCTGTATCTTTTTCAGGTTCAAGTTAAACCTTGCTCCCGTTCCAAGTTTCTCTAAGATTGTATTTAAATTATTTTCCCCTGCTGTTTCTCATCCAAAGCCTGAACGATCATTTAATGAAAAACAACATGATGAAAACTTGAGAATTGTTTTCTATCCAGGGGAAACAGATGCCTCTCATGCAATAGTAGAAATGGGTTTCCGGAGTCATTGGCACAGATGGGCTTTTGAATCGGAGCTTCCTCTGGGAACAGGTTCGAATGGAAGGCGATCTAGCTTTCAAATAACGCTCAAGTGGCAGATAGCTTAGGAAAGTCCTGTCGATGCAGTGGGCATCTGGAACTAATCTGAGGCTTCTCTTTCAGGACAGAAAGCATTATGCTGCTGGATTTTAAAATATTTTATGTTTATAGAACACATGGAGAAGATTGGGTTTTGTATTTTTAAATGTCAGTTCAAAGAATCCCTTTTGGATTTTCCCCAGTATTCTGAAAGTAAGGGAAGAGATGATCTTAAGGAGTTTTGCTTCGGAGGATGTAAGCCAGCCAGCCAATGGGCAGAGACAAGGGTCACAAGATTAATTAATTAAGTCTAATTAGTGCTCACCTGGATTGAGGATTGGGCAAGTGCAGCCTCTGTTTGTCCAGGACTCTGGATACAGTGTTCTCTTGCCTCGTAAGATCTTCAGTTTTGTCGACTGTAAGACTTTTTTTATTTTCACATTGACCTCGGCATGTGAGCCTTTATCATGTGCTGATAAAATCTTGATTTTTAACACTGGAACAACAGAATTCCAAAAGTTAGGAAAACACACGAATTTCATGTTTTCTCTTGAAATTTGAACTATTTTGGTGACTTATTTCCTAGTATGATGGAAAAGTGAATCGATGAAAACCAGAATGTGGAAATCTGCTTTAAAAATCATGAGGCTCATTCATTTTTGAGATGATTTAATCTCATTTATATTTTATTTTCTCTTTATTGGCAGTTTCAACTTTTGTACCTTCCCATATTATGACATTAGAAAGATATTATCCATTGCCTTCTGCAAGTGAGATTTTAAGTATATTCAGCTGAGCCAGGCATGGTGACACACACCTTTAATTTCTATACTCAAGAGGTAGAGGCAGGTGGATCTCTGAGTTCAAGCCAGCTGGGTCTACAAAGTGAGTTCCAGTACAGCCAGTGCTATACAGAGAAACCCTGTCTCAAATAACAAACAAACAAGACAAAAAAGTATATTCACATATCAAAACTACAAAGAATAAATAGGAAGTTAAACTATTGTCCTGGTTTTTATTTAGATCCTGATGATAGTATACTTCTGTGGTTCCCTGTATATGATGTTATGATGACAGAGGACAAAATGTTTTGATAGGGTATATTTTGCATCACTTTACAGATGTTATATAACATTATTATTATTTACTGTTCTTTGGAGTACAGTGTAAACTGCCCTCCTACATGATGGCAGGGCTATAGTATTCCTTTGCTTTGATTTATTTATTTTTATTTTATGTTTATGAGGGCTTGAGTGCATGTGTGTGTCCCATATGTGTGTGCCTGGTGCCCATGGAGGCCAGAAGAAAGCATCAGATTCCCCCCCCCCCCCCCCCCACCCCCGAGCTACACTTACAGACAGCTGTGAAGTATGCTGGAGACTGAACCTTGGTCCTCTTCTAGATCAGCAAGTGCTCTTGACTGCTGAGTCATCTCTCTGCACCCTTCTTTTAATTTTTAATACCTGAAAAATATTTCTAAATTGACACATAGAAATTATATGTGCTTATGGAAGTCCATGTGATATTTTAATATATACATTTTAAAGTGTAGAACAGGGTAGGTGGGCCTGTTCAAACATTCATCATTCCTCTGTAGAGGAAGAACACCACAGTCCTTCCCACCCCTCACTGCAGTAAACCATGTAGTGCTAATATGATCTGTAATTACATATATAATACAGTGTGATTACAGACCTCCAGTGTTCTGCTTGACTTCTGATTCTGTTATGTTCTTCAGTTTATGAAATGTATGCAGCTAGAAATTAGGTAGTGAAGTATTTTGGGGTAGGAAAGAGTGTAGACATAGGAAGACTAGGATATAATTTTCTGTATGAAGAGAGTTCATGCATACAGATTTTGATAGATGATTGTGTGTAATGAGAGAACCGTATCTTAGCTGATTTCAAAAATATCACGGCAGACAGCTGTCTTCACAGGATCATCAAGGATCAGAATTATAGAACATCTTGAAAATGAACCTAGTCTCACAAGCTTGCTTTGTAGACCAGGCTGGCCTCAAACTCACAGAAATCCACCTGCCTCTGCCTCCCAAGTGCTGGGACTAAAGGTGTGTGCCACAACCACCCGGCTTGAGTCACAAATCTTAATGCCTCCTCATGGAGGTCTTTAAACTCACCATATGAATACTTCATTCCACAGAATGCCTTGGGGTTTCCTAACACTTGTTCCTTACATTCACATTTACCTGCATAAAGTAAATGAGAAATTGTGTTATGGGGGTAGCGAGGGGGGAGGGGGAGGGGTGTTTCGGTAGGCAAATCCAGGTAACAGTTTACTCCTTTACTGATTCATATAACATCTGTAACTGTTAAGTGGTGATGAAATAATTTAAGAGAAGTAAATTCCCTTTCCAAATAGAATTGACTATAGTCTAATAAAATATCAACCTAAGTATGGAAGATAAAGTCAATACCAAATTTCAAAGCACAAACTGATATTGTGATAAATACAGTCCAGTGTCAATACTCTGTATTAATAAAAAGGAACAGCTAAGAGTGTAAATCTGAGAAAAGTAACTAAGTATATTAAGTATCCAATTAACAATTATGCCAATGAAAATCAAATAAAATACTTGGTAGTCCATTGAAAGTAATTGGAGACCTTATGACCTGCTGAGCATAGTGATGTCATTCCTTTTTTTTTCCAAGACAGGGTTTCTCTATGTAGCCTTGGCTGTCCTGGAGCTTGCTTTGTAGACCAGGCTGGCCTCAAACTCACAGAGATCACAGAGCACATAAGGATGAGCAAGATACAATGTGGCAAAATTTTCAGGGGTGTGACTTTTGTTTATGCTGTGTTTGTTGAATTCTGTGAAGCTGTATTACTGTGCCTCTCTAAAAACACCTGATGGTCCTAATAAAGAGCTGAATGGCCAATAGTGAGGCAGGAGCAAGGATAGGCAGGACTGGTAGGCAGAGAGGATAAATAGAAGGAGAAACTAGAAAGAGGAGGAGCAGCAAAGAGAAAACGACGGGAAGATGTCAGGGGCCAGCCACACAGATAGCCACGGAGTAGGAAGGTAAGTAAGGTATACAGAAATAGAGAAAGATAAAAGCCCAGAGGCAAAAGGTCCATGGGATAATTTAAGAAAAGCTGGCTAGAAACAAGCCAAGCTAATACCAGACATTTATAAGTAATAATAAGACCTAACAGTAATAAGACCTAACAATAATAAGACCTATAAGTAATAATAAGGCCTAACAGCTGTGGGGGATACATTATGTGCTCACTGGGCATGCTGCCATCTCCCTAATAACATGCACAATGGGCTTAGTGGATGTCCTGTAGTCCAAATGATCTGATTTGGGAGCTAGGTGGCAGGTCCCCCAAAAAGCCAAAAGAGAAAAATATGACACTACAGTACAATTCTTGCCTAAGGCTTGCAATTTGGCAAGTAAAAAAGTGATTGTATTTAAAAAATTAAGTGGTTTAAGATAGAAGTAGGACACGCCTAGGTGTGAGGAGGGTCCTACATTTGGGAAGATGAAAAAAGCCTTCCTGACTGGAGAAGGATCTAGAATGGTCATTTTCAAAAAAGATGGAGTAGTTTCTTCCAACAGTTGAAATTGTCTGTTAGAACTGTTGCATGTGAGAGAGTTGCCAGGCCCTGTAGAAGACTTTCAAAACACCTTTGAACAAAAATGATGTCATGAAAAAAGGGTTTTCAGTTAATGACAGGATTGAGCCATCACAGAAGGAATTTCAGGGTTTTACAGTTTTTTGTTGTTTTTTGCTTTGTTTTTTATTGTTGTTGTTGTTTGGGTTCCTGTTTTGTTTTTTCAAGATGGGGTTTCTCTGTGTAGCTTTCAAGCCTGTCCTGGCACTTTCTTTGTAGACCAGGCTGGCCTCCAACTCACAGAGATCCAACTGCCTCTGCCTCCTGTGTGCTGGAACTAAAGGCGTGCACCATCACTGCCCAGTGGCTTGGTAGTATTTAAAGGCTTTAGTAGCAATCACCTATCTAGTTTGTTGCTCTAAAGGAGACGGAGAATAGTAGTAGCTCTAGGAGGGAGAAGCAGCTGAAATCAGAACTTAGTAAAAGCAAGAATCAGTGGGGCACCAGAGACCCAGGTAGCGTAGTCTTTCTGACAGCTTTGCCTCTGGAGCCATGAACTCTATCATATGCAGACTTACAACACTTAGGTTCCAGAGACAGAGAGGACACTGGATTGGCTTCTCTGAGAGTGCAGTGAGAGTGGAAGGGCAGCTTCTCATAGCAAAACTAAGAGGAACTGACCCAGACGTGCCAAGAAAGAGGGAAAAATGAATCTGGCCAGACCGAGATGACAATGGCCTAGGACAAGGAGGGTACAGTCAATCACAGAAAGCTGACAGAACATCTGGGCAGAAATGCCAATCCAGTGAGAGTGGTGTAAACAACTCTAGCATGTCAGCAACCCATGCTACAGAAAAGAGAATAAGGGTTATAAGTGGAAAATCCCAAGTAGAATTAAAGAGCCGGAAAGAGAGTTAAAGGCACTTAAAACCAGCCATTGTGGTTTGCTTATAATCTACACACAGTACAGGGCCTCATTCAGAAGTTACTATAAGTGAATGGCCCATGGCCTCTGAAAAGTTCACTGAAGCAGAGAATATGCTAGCTACGAGTGAAAGGTATATACTGCTCCTCAACACAAAGCTCTCTTGTCAGTCCTTTGGGCAGCACACATGGATCTGTCATTTGAAGGTTTGTCTTTGGTTTCCCAACAACACCCCTTTTTCACACACTTAGAGTTTAAGCATTAATATGTACTGGTCAAGATGAAGTTCTACTCAGAAGACCGAACCCAATGGACTGTATGAGCCTGGGAGTTCACGCCCAGCTGGGCATATCATGAGAGCCAATTTCAAAGAAGAATATTTTTCATTTGTCAGGATTTAAGAAGTCTGGAAATGGTAAAGGCCCATTTAGTTACAGTAGGTTGTTAGAACATTTTGAAAAATGAACATTGCTCACAGTTCTCTGGTACTAGTTAAAGCCAGGTTTGCCACTGGGGAAGCCAGATTTCACATCTGGTATTTTCTACCTCACAAGTGGAAATGATAGGTTAGAGGGTGGCTGGGAATGAGCTCAGTCATAGAAGACTTTGTCTACCAAGTACAAAATTCTCAGGGCATCTTCTCTGGCACTGAGAAAGATGGGAGAAAGAGGAAGGGAAGGAAAAAAGGAGCGAAAGAGAGAAAGAAAAGAGGGAAGAAAGACAGAAGGAAGGAAGGAAGGAAGAGAAAAGAGAGAGAAAGAAACTAGAATTTTGTGACAAATACCAGTATTGGTTGGCATACTGTTTTATATTTGTAGTCAAAATCTTTTAATGGTGTTCACTATTCATCAGTAGACAGGTATGCTGCTAGATTCAAGGGTGAAAAGGCTTTTTAAGTGCTTAGGAAACTGGCTGTCACTTTTCTGTTGGGCTGTAAACCAAAGGGAATGTTGAAGCTACACTGTCTTCCTCCCTCGGGAACTCATCCAGATGGATCCCAAAGGCTCCCTGGGGACATCCTAGGCCTAACAGCTGTGGGGATACATTATGTGCTCACTGGGCATGCTGCCATCTCCCTAATAACATGCACAATGGGCTTAGTGGATGTCCTGTAGTCCAAATGACCTGATTAATTACAGATTTGGTCCAGCAGGCTGTTATAGAGTAGAAATCATTGTCATACCAAGGTAGAAGACACTTTTAAGAGTGGCCACTAAAGTGGCAAAATATGCACTATACAACATGAATATTTGTCTTCTTTCTCAGATGCTTTGAAAAAAGGAAAATAGGAGAGCCAAGCATGGTGCACTTGGGAGACAGAGATGGGTTAGAAGCCAGTCCCATGCCAATCTGTCCTATACAATTAAACTTTGTCTCAAACATAAATAAATAGATAAGACAACCTCATGTAACTTTATATTTCCTACCTTCTTCCTATGGTACATTAAAATGAGACCATTTGCGAAATTATTATGACATTATGTTTAGAGAGAAAAATGGGATTGTAAATACCAGTGCTTCTCAAATTTGGGTGCACGGATCTTTTTGTTGTTGTTAAGGCAGTGTCACTCTATGAAGTCCTGACTGTCCTGGAGCCTGATATGTAGACCAGGCTGGCTTTGAACTCACAGAAATGCCCCTGCCTCTGTCTCCCAAATACTGGGGTTAAAGGGTTGTGCTACCATGTCTGGTTTGAATCTTTAAAAAAAAATTAAAATAATCTTTATTATCAAAAACAAAACACACACACACACACACACACACACACACACACACACACACACACACACACACACACACACACCAAAAGTCTTGGTTCTTGAGCTATAGGTTCCCTATGGAAATGTGTTAAAACGATGTTTTTTTTTTTTTTTTTTTTTTTCATTATCTAAAATGTAGACTGAATTAAAAGACAGTTCTAGGTTTCTCTGAAAATAATAAAATGTTGGAAAAATATTATAGTTGAGTAATACAGCTTGCCTTGGGGTTTCAATTGCTGTGAAGAGACGCCATGACCACAGTGCTTTTATAAAGGAAACCATTTAGTTGAGGCGGGCTTACAGTTTCAGAGGTTTAGTCTATTCTCATCATGGTGGGAAACACGGCAGCATGCAGGCAAGCATGGTGCTGGAGAAGGAGCTGAGAGTTCTGCATCTTGATCCACAGGCAACAGGAAATGAACTGTCTACTCCACTGAGTTTATCTTGAACAAAGAAGACCTCAAAGCTGCTCCACAGTGACACACTTCCTCCTACAGGGGCCACACCTACTCCAACAAAGCCACACCTCCTAATAGTGCCACTCCCCTTGGGGGCCATTTTCTTTCAAACCACCACAATACTCAAATACGTTTTCAGCTTACTTTCTGTATGTATTTATGTGTTTGTATGTGTGAAGACTAAGGGGTATCTGTGTGTTTGCATGTGGTAGAGGTTAGAGTCAACGTCCAGTGTGGTCTTCAGTTGTGCTTTATTTTTTGAGGCAGGGTTCCTCTAGCTAAACTTGGAGCTTATTGATTATAGCTAGATTTCCTGGGCTATAGCTAGATTTCCAGCAAGCCCCAGGTATCCTTCTGTTTGCCCTTTCCTTCCCCTCAAATGCTGGGCTTACAGGTGTGTGCCATGGAGGGTTTGTTTGTTTGTTTTTTAAATGCTTTTTCTGGGAGATGGTTGTATTTCAGTTACCTCTGAGATGGAAACATCCCATCTTGAAGGGAAGCTCCCTCAACAGGAAGGTGAACAACGCAAAACAGCTTGAGGAAGTCCCTGAAGCCAACCAGATTTTCTAGGCCCTGCCCAGCCAGAGTAAACATTAACCCTGAGCCACCCTCAGATGGGAAGCTGAAGCAAAGAAAGACTCTTAGATGGGAAAAGCTACAAAGCAGCCGGAGGCCAGACCAGCAGCCCAGATTCGGGAAGAACCTGGCACGGACTACCTCCAACCTGTTGAGCTTCCTGCAGGCTGTGCAGTGTGCTCCAGGTTCCCAGGTTTGTGAGCTGCCACCCCTGCTGGGGTGGGCCTTGATGAGGCAGTTAGTCCTTTAGTTATTTCTGCTCCTGTGAGTAACCCGTCACCCATGTTCCTGCAAGTAGCCCCAATAATACTCATGGGTTCACAAGTTGGACTTTGGTGATATCTAGACTTTGGTGTGTCCGTGGACATGCTATCTGTGGTGAATAGACATGTGTTGGAAAAGGTTTGTTACACAACAGAGATCAAACTGGAAGTCCTCATGCTTGTTGTGCAAGCATTTTATTGAGAGAGACCATTGCCTCTGCCTCATCTCAGCTTTAAACACACAGCCATGTTAGGAAAGGAGAAAAGAAAATAAATACAGGCCATATCAGAGCCAGAGAACACCCTCTGTGGGTTAGAAACAGAGTGTGTTCTCAGTGGGGTAGGGGTGGGAGTGAGGTAAAGAGTTGGGGGCCAGAAATCACAGCTCTTTTGGGTCTGATTTCAGAATTAGACAGCCATGGTCAATGCAGACCAATGGGGTGAAGGGAACAGAGGGCACTTCTTAACCCACAGAGGGGGTTAGGTTCTCCTGGATGATGAAAGGAGGTTGTAAACAAACCATGGCCTGAGTTTGTAGTTTGCAATTCACAAAACTGTTGGGCAGCACTCGGAAAATTTACATTTTTTACTGTGATGTTCTACTTTGTGTGTGTGTGTGTGTGTGTGTGTGTGATAAATATACAAAACCAGAAGAAAGAAAAAAAAAACCCAGAAGTCTATTAAAATAACCCTCAGGTGTATTTCACTTTCACATTTTTGGGGATAGGCCATCCCTTTATTGAACCTCAGAACTAAAGAATGTTTCAGAGGATTCTCAAACTGTCCTCTGATTTGACACAATCCCTATAGCTCCAGACCAGACTTGGAAATAAGACAGTGGATGGTCAGGCTCACCTGAGTGTCGGAGTGCAGAGAATCCCTGTTCGTCCCCCCACTCCCAGGTCGGCTCACTCTTATTGTGTGGAGATGGAAAGTCGGGGAGTTCATGGTACCATTCTACATCAGCACTACTAACAAAACAGAAAACAATGGCAAACTTGAGATGTTTTAGAACCCAAGTAAAAATGAATTGTGTTATATATATAAAAACCAACTATTTATCTTTCCACACACCAGTGCTGTTTTGGGAAATTACTGTGCAGAATAGCTTATTTTGCAAAAGAATTTCCTAAAAAACTTTGCAAGAACAAATTGATTCTGCAAATTGAAAATAAGTTTTTTAAAGAGATGTGTGCTCTTCTTAAGGCATTCAGTCACTGCCCAATTTCCGGAAGCTTAAACTACTCATAGACAAGAACAAGAGGCAGACACTCACCTGCTGATGCAGTCTCCTGTGTGGGGGTCACAGCTCCCTGCACAGTCACAAGGTCTGCAGCCGTACTCTCCAAAGCCCCAGTATCCCACCATGCACCTGTCACAGTGTGGCCCTGCCACCCCAGGCTTGCAAGGGCAGTCACCATTGCTAGGGTCACAGACGGTCACTGAGTTGAAAGGAAGGGTAGCTGATCCAACTGGATGGCAGGAGCAGGCTACAACAGAAGAGACAAGGGACTGGTGAGTGGTTGTGGCTCATTTGTGTGGAGCTTGTGCCTGGCAAATGGCTTCACCTCATCAAACAGCATGTTTCTGAGACTCCTCCTTTGGCCAGCTGCTGTGCTCTTGGAGAATGAAAGTTTAGCTACAGATAAGCAAGCTACAATTAGAGAGCTTGCCTGCTGCAAAAAGAACCATGTAATTCATTCTAAAGTTGAGAGCGTCGTGTATGGACACCTTTTGGTTGAAGTGATGTAGATAAACCAGGGAGGAGGACAGAGAAGGAACATTTGATTTGAAACTAATCACAACTGTTTCTCAACCTTCCTGATGCTGCAACCCTTTAATAGAGTTCCTCATGCTGTGGAGACCTCAAACCATAACATTGTTTTTGTTGCTACTTCATAACTACATATCTGTGTTTTCTGATGGTTTAGGGACCCCCGTGGAAGGGTCGGTCAACCCTCTGGGGTTGCGACCCACAAGTTGGGAAACACTGTTCCAAAAGTAAAGAAGGCTTTAAGGAAGAGGAGTGGCATCATCTGTCTAACACGGCTGAGCAGAGAAGAGGAAGAAAGAGAAGAGAGTGGATTGTTGCACGTAACAACATGAAATCTTCACAGGAAGTTTCAGTTCAGTGGGAAATGGGAATATAATTAAAGAGAACTATAGAGACAATTCCACCGGGAGACCGGATAGCTGTTTTCAAAGCAGGAAAATTGGCTGGGGCTGTGAAACCAAATGAGAATTTGGGTTTTTGTTTGTTGTAAGGGGGAGAAAATGTAGCACATTGATGTTTAATGTTGATTGTGAAGATCTAATAGAAAGATAAAAATGGTCATCAGGAAAAAAAAGAGAGGGGAAAATTATTGGAGGGATACCTCAGTGTATTTGAGAAGGGAAGGGGATGGAGTCTGATACAGTAGAGTGGAGAGCATTGCTAGTTTAGTGACAGGATGGGAGATGTACCCTGTGGCCAGCAATGCAAGTAAGAGGTGGTTGCTGGTGAGATTTTTTCTCCTGGTTGAACGTATTTTGTGAGTGGCACAGAAAGTGAGATCACTAGAGGAGAAAGACAGTAGAAGTCTGAGATGTGGGAGCAAGATTAGGAAGTCAAGAACTCTCATTGGCCAGGTTGTATTAAGGTCACACCTCAGGTTAGAGATTGTGATTGTGTAGTATCATCTGATACATTAGTTGGTTTCCTCCCATTTCATATAGCAGAGCAGGCTCAGGATTGGTGAAGGAAGACATAGATTTAATCTGGGTGGGGTTAGCCTGGTTCCTCACACTGAAATCTGTGAGAGGCCATTTTTGAAAGTCTGTCTTTTCAGCTCTCCCTAAACTATCTGCTACTCACAACATCACAATATCAGTGTTTTCCTTGCCTCTGGGATAGAAGGTGTGTGTGTGAGTGTGTGTGTGTGTGTGTGTGTGTGTGTGTGTGTGTGTGTGTGTGAGAGAGAGAGAGAGAGAGAGAGAGAGAGAGAGAGAGAGACAGACAGACAGACAGACAGACAGACAGATATAGAGACAGAGAATCTATATGAATATATGAAATGCACTTATTTGGTTCATTATATATTATAAACTGTGATCTCAGCTGGGCCCTCTAACTGATGCTCAATTCAATTTCACCTGAATTAAAAACAAAATACTCCTTACAGGGCCACTACAGAACTGCTCTGGCTTTTCAGTTCATTCTACCCTCTTAGTCACATGATTCTGACATATTGACAAACATCCAGGTAATCTCTCCACCTCAGAATCTCATCTCCTTTCCACTCCTCCCTCCAAGAATCAAATGAGAAATGGTGGGAGAGATCTTGCTTTGAGTTCCTTCCTCCTCAGCTCTGTGATTCGGAGGGAGAAACTTAGCTTTCCCAAGTCTCGACTCCTTCAATACACTGTCTACCTCTTCCAAAGGCTGAAGTTACTCCATACAAAACCCCTTCAGCAAGGTGTGTAGCACACAGTCTGCTATTGCCCAGGGCAGGTTTTTCTGCCATGACCTGTCAACTAAATTTCTATATCCTACATTTTCCTTTCAAAACTTTATATATTACTTATCTTGACATTGAAAATTCCCTTTGACTTCATTGCTCCAATTGTATGACCTTTGGAAAGATAACCAGCCTCTCAATTTCCATGTCCGTACAATGAAAATTAGACTGTTTATATCCTGAAGAATGCATATGTATAGTGCATGTATATGTATGTACAACACATATATGTGACCGTGAGGGTGAAAGGAGATTGTATATGCAAAGCCATTAGTGTGGAGTTTGAAAGACAGTTTATTCATAGTAGATTAATTAATCAAGCAACAGAAATTCTTCTTTTTTTTTTCTGTTTTTTTTTTTGAGACAGGGTTTGTCTGTGGCTTTGGAGGCTGTCCTGGAACTAGCTCTTATAGACCAGCTGGTCTCAAACTCACAGAGACCCCCCTGCCTCTGTCTCCTGAGTGCTGGGATTAAAGGTGTGCACCACCACCTTTAATCAGAAATTCTTATAGAGGTGTAGGATCCATGTTTGAGAAGTGGTGCCAGACATCAAGGACCTCATGGGCTTATAGGAAAAACAGAGTCGTGAATAAAAGTTTCCATACACTGTGGAGTGCTAGAGGTCTGCATAGGAACCAGCAAAGATGAAGGCTACACAGCTTGAGATAGTCCACAAGGCTCACAGGAGTGTGGTCCTCAGGTGTGAGAGCTGGGTCTAAAAGACAGGGAGAGAGTTCATATGTTGAAAAGGTGGGAGAGGTAGGTAGTTGCCCACTGGAACTCCCCAATTGTACTTTTTAAAAACAATTTAAAAAATTTTTAATTGCAGTGAAAGCACATAAAATTCACTATCTTAATCATTTTTAGGTATACAGTTTACTTGGATTATTTCCTTTGATTCTGTTTGTGTATTATGTGGGAGCTGCCTCAGGACAATGCCCTGAGCCATGCTGACACCACCTCTCCCCATCTGTCTTAGCGATGCTGACACGCTTTCCTGTCGAGCTCCCCATGGTCAGCTGCTCTCTGTGTTGTTCCTGTTCCTTCTGCATATTGCTAGTTTGTGTGTCTCACAGGCCATTATTATTATCTGTTGACATGCTTGTCTCCATTACTCTGGGTTGTGATCATTGACAGGAGGGTCTTTATCTTCTAATTTTTGTTTTTGGGGCCCTAGAACGGTCCATGGTAGATGCCTGAAGGGGCATTATGGTGTTATCCTAGGGAGGTTCCTAAGGGGATCCCAGCTTGTGGGAATAGTGTGTGCAAGAGCATGGCCCATCTGGGGAGTATGGATTGAGTGGACAGGAGTTGAAGGGTTGTAGGACAGAATTAAAAAATCCATAGAGTCCAGACTGTGGAAGAGCTTACTCCAAGACATTAAGTTTTGTCTTAGGGATTTAATGGCTTAAGAAGTTTTCAAACAGAATCAGGGCATGGGTATAGTTCTGGCAGACACGTAGAACATTAGGGAGACAAAAGGACCAAGAGTTGACAAGGACACATAAGGCAGAAGGAGTAGGTGTGAGAAAAGTTTGCATAGAAAAGTTTTGTTTGTGTTTGTTTTTGAGGCTAAGACCCTGTGTAAGACAAGGAACCACAAACAGTAACAAAAAGATTTATAAAGACCGTCAGATGGGAAAAAACTCGTCAAGGGCAAGCAGATATTGAGGAAGGTTTAAGCTTTCCAATTTGGTGAAAAAGAATGACATTGCTTATGAAGATAAGCAAGAGAAGGTTGGGATAGATGGACGTGTGTTTGGGATAGAGGTTGCAGAAGAGGGAGAAAAACATGAACTCAGGGTCAGACATTAGCTCTGATGTGCTTGTGGGCTATGCTAATAACTTATAATGGACAACTGGAAATAATCGTAGGCGTAGGAGAAAAGTGTGAGGGTCACAAATACAGTTTACAGCATTTTCAGGTGGTTGAAGCCGAGAGAAGGTGGTAAAAGCCCCGAAAGAGTGCAGCATGAGAAGACAAGCACAGACACAGCATGGAGGTCATCTTTACAATACAGACAAGTGCAGGAGCAGTAAGTTATAAGATTGTGAAGGGTTAGCGAGGGAAGAGAAATAAAATGAGCTGTGAGAAACAAAGGTTGAGAAAGTGGTTAACAGTGACAAATACCACAGACTACAATGGGTCACCTAAGACTGACAATAGGCCGGTAACACTATCAGCAGGTCACTGATGACTCTCCTGAGAACAGGAGCTGAAGACATGACAGCTGGTAAGATACTCTTTGTTTTAACTATAAGTGTAGAGCATTGTTCCCAGATGAGCACTACTGGGTAAGGTTTGTGACACTTTGTGTGTGACCTTCTGTCTCCCCCCTCCCACATGCTTTCTTGGGTTGAGAGCCATCACAATGGCATAGAATGTTGCCTTTTTTCCCCCCTTGGAAGGAATCTTTTATTCAGTCTATTTTATTCATTTACTCGAGAAGAAATGAGAGTAGATAATAATTCTAATATTTATGAAGCATTTGCAGTTTGAAGATGTCAGACATTACATGCTATGGCCCTAGACTACTTCTCCAGTCTTCTCTTTTATTATTTTCTTGCATATATCACGTATCCTAATTAAATGCTACCCTCCATTTCTAGATACACTCCACTGTTTCCTGTTTCTGGGCTTTCATTGAGGGAGGGATATTCTCCCCTGCACACGTAGTTTTCACAACTCCATACATCATTCACATCTGTCTTAGACAGCATCTCAGATTCATCCATTTGAGGTGGTGAGTGCTCAAGGCAAGTGTGTAGAGATAGAGGACAACTTACTGAAGTTGGTTCTCTCTTCTACCATGTAGGTTCAAGTATTGAACTCAATTACCAGGCTTGTGACCTTTCATCAACTGAGCCACACCAGCAGTCCAAGACAGACTGTGTGCAACAGAAACCAATGACATTCATAAGAGAAGAGGAATGCCAGTCCCCCTGCTCTCCACAGCCCTCTCCACAGCCCTCTCCACATTGCCTGGGTTGGCGCCCAAGGCAGCCATTCCGGGTGCCTAACTGCAGGGTAAATTTGCAAAGGACTGGGTCCTAATCCCTACAATGGATGTGATTGGCCTTTCTTTGAAACCTGTGGCTGCTTTAAGGATAATGTTTCTTCTTAGAGCTTTGTCAACAGGGGTGTGTTTTCTCTGTCACACTAGACTGTAAGGTCTGAGGACCATATCTATCTCCTAGATGGCTTAGTTGTTGTTGTTGCTTTGTTTGTTTTTGAGACAGAGTATCTCAGTGCATCAGTCCTGACTGTCCTGGAACTTGCTTTGTAGATCAGGCTGGCTTCACTGAGATCCACCTGCCTCTGCCTCAGTAGTGCTGGAATTAAAGGCGCACACCACAGTTGTTTTTTTTTAGCCTTCCCGAGTCTCATGTTTCTGTTTAGTAGAGGGAGGACTGAATACATGTAGCTATATATAACAAGTAATTGTAAATTCTATACACTAAAAGCACACATTAAATCAAATTAAAACACAATGATAGAAACTCTTCAACAAGTGGCCAAAAGGACACTGGTGTATTTGCATAAGGCAGCAGTCATCTACCCATTCATTTAGTCAATGAATATTTAATGAACAGCTACTGTGTGCAAGTAAGTACTCAGCAGACTGCTAGGGATCTAAGTTGAACTGGATAGTCTTTGCCCTTTGAAGAGACTCGCAGTTTACAAGAATAATTATTTCAGAGCTGATGAGATGACTATAGAGTAAGCATCAACATGCAAACCTCAAGACGAGTTTGATTCCTAGAACCCTGGGGGAAGGAAAAAACTGACTCTTGAAAGTTGTCCTTTGACTCACGTGCATGCCCACACACCACACATACCCACACACCACACATACCCACACACCACACATACCCACATACCACACATACCCACATACCATATACATACATATACTCCATACACACATACACACCATACACACACACCATATACATGCATACACTCCATACACACACACACACACCTCACATACCCACACACCACACATACCCACGCACCATATACATACATATATTCCATACGCACATACACACCATATACATACATACCCTCCATACATACCCATACACCATACCACACATACCCACACACCACACATACCCACACACCATATACATGCATACACTCCATACACACACACCATAACACACACACCATATACATACATACACTCCATACACACACACCATACAAATACCATAATAAAATTGAAAATAATAATAGCTATTCCAATATAAAGGACTTACCTAGTACAAAAAGAGAAGAAAAGATTTTATCTTTTTTTTTTTTTTTTTTTTTGGTTTTTCAAGACAGGGTTTCTCTGTGTAGCACTCGCTCTGGAGACCAGGCTGGCCTCGAACTCACAGAGATCCGGCTGCCTCTGCCTCCCGAGTGCTGGGATTAAAGGCGTGCACCACC